TGGGGTGACGGTGCGTGAGAGATGCAAAGAAACAACGAAAAAGAAAGAAACATGTGGCGGACAAGAAAAAAAAAAAAAAACTACGCACGGGCAAACACCTTACGGCGTCCTTGCACCTCCACACACGCACGCACACCACAAGCCGCGGTCACAACATCGGAGTCTCACATGCCGCCCAAAACAGAGACAAAAGCAGTGGAAGGCGCGGCAACACGAGATGCCCAGAAAAAAAAAAGGAAAACAAAAAACTAACAAAAAAAAGGCAATGAGTTCATGGGATTCAACACAATCGGCCCCGCTCAAGAGGGCCTGGCGCCGCTCTACTTCTTCTTGGTCTGCATTTTGCCCTTCGCCTTGCCGCGAATCTTCTTGTTACGGTTGCGACGCTCCTTCACAGACTTGCGAGCCGGCAGCTTCTTCTTGCCCATGCCAAGGCGGGCCTTGCGGTAGTTGGGCTCAATGCGCTTCAGAGCGGCGAGGTCGTCGTAGATGAGGCCAAAGCCGGTCGTCTTGCCCCCACCAAACTTCGTCTTGAAACCAAAGACAGAGATCTGGTTCTCGTCAGCGACCTTGTAGAGCGATGCGAGACGGCTACGGATGAGCTTGGCGGGGACGGTGCCGCACCAGCCGGGGTGGTTCACCTCCACGATGAACTGCTTGCGGTTGAGCAGCTTGTTCACCTTGAACTGCGAGGTGCGGACCGTCACCTCCGCCTTCTTCTTCTGAAAGACCATGCTGTTTTCCTGCGCGTGCCCCCCACCCCCACCGCAGCGATGGGGTGACGGTGCGTGAGAGATGCAAAGAAACAACAAAAAAAAACGAAAGAAGAAACATGTGGCGGACAGCAAAAAAAAAAAAAAACTCGCACGGGCAAACACCTTACGGCGTCCTTGCACCTCCACACACGCACGCACACCACAAGCCGCGGTCACAACATCGGAGTCTCACATGCCGCCCAAAACAGAGACAAAAGCAGTGGAAGGCGCGGCAACACGAGATGCCCACAAAAAAAAAAAGGAAAACAAAAAACTAACAAAAAAAAGGCAATGAGTTCATGGGATTCAACACAATCGGCCCCGCTCAAGAGGGCCTGGCGCCGCTCTACTTCTTCTTGGTCTGCATTTTGCCCTTCGCCTTGCCGCGAATCTTCTTGTTACGGTTGCGACGCTCCTTCACAGACTTGCGAGCCGGCAGCTTC